TTTAACTCAGAGGTTTAAAGCTAAAAGTTAAAACGGGTGAAAAACACTTTGCCATGATCGACTTTTTAATCGTACGCACGTCATCCCGAGAGGAAAGATACACTGATATCTCCTTCATTTCTATCTATTCGTTTACTTTTTTTATTTACATGAAGCTTTTTATTATCTCTTTGATATTCAAAAATGAACTTTCTTGGTCACCAGACATTCCCCAAGACAAGCACATTTTATTCCAAATTGTGTCGATAATAAATGTTTACAAATAAATGTTTACATTGCAGAGAGTGGTCATCATATATTTAAATATTGTAATACAATTTACCAAAAGATAATTCTGTTGTGAGCAGAATTGTTTTAGAATTTGCATTAATTTGAAATTAGACTAAATCGGTTTCCACAACAAAAACTTAAATGCTCTGTACAAGCTTTCAGAAGTTACAACTAGTCAATTTAGTTATTGGCAATGCATGTGTCTCTATTTACTATATTTGGATTCAAACACCGAAGCCACAGATCTTCCTCCCAATCAAGGAAGCATCTTTTTTTTAATTTTCTGGTGAGAATATACGTGACCCTTTTCTATCATTTTTTATTTTCTCTTTTACGGTGTTTTGACGCACCTACATGCACATCGCAGTGTGCGCACTAACTTTCGGAACATCCCTTGAACTATTCCACACTTGTAAAGTACCAGCCAGTGTCTTTTCTGATGCGTGTACCGGGTTCATCGCTGAAGGGTGAACTAAAACCCTTGACACTAAAAGTGTCTTGTACATTTCTATTAGACTGATTTCTTTGCACAGCTATGTAGCGCCATCTAGAGTCTGTACGCTCAACCATGGCAATTCTAAGGCCACCTTTATCAATTTATAACAGCAGATTAAGATTCTTATTTGAGAAAATCTATTTATCTTATTCATATATTTATAATTTTAACCCTTTTGCAAACCGAAACTGAACATTCTAATTCTAACAGATGAGCAATTGCGATGATGCATTAATTCTTATTTCCACGTTATGAGACATTTGCATTGATGAAGAAAACATAATGGGTCAGTCCAATTTGAATTGTGCTGCAAATCTGGTTTGGACGTCAGTCACTCAGGGATTAATAATAATCTGGGGATAGAAACTCATTAGAATCCCTAAAAATGCTTTCAAAATTGTTATAAACAAAAAGCAAGCTTGAAATGCTGTTGTAGAAATTTTGTTGCAGTACAAGAGATGTTATACATTTTTTGTCACAAATAGCCCACAATGACAGTGAACATATAAAGGCCCGTTTCTTTTTCTTTCCCATTTAAATTTATTTCCCTCACGCCCCAAAATGTGCAAGTGCACACACACACACACACACACACACACACACACACACACACACGTATGTGTGTTGCGTATGGTCTTTGTACTGTCTTCCCCTGCCTGCTCCACTCCGTACAGACTGTTTCTGCAGTGGTGCAGTCAACCAGATGATGCTGCAGGGACAATAGCAAAAGTTAAAAGTGTAACCAACAAAAGTTCCGATGGAAGCAAGGAACTGAGCTCTCGGTGAGGGGGCATTCGGCCTTGCTGGGTTACTGAAGCACTGAAGAGATGGAGACAGTTAAGGCCTGACGCCCAGTCCCACACGAAATCCTTTGATTTTATTTGAATAATCCCTAAATGATAAATTATTAGAGATGTTATTACGTGCACTTCTGTTTTTGTTTTGGTGAAGTCTGGGACATTTCTGGTCACCGCTCATAGCAGCAAACAACGACCATGGGGAGTTCTCTCTAAAGTTCACTATATGGTTCATTTAGTTTATCTCATTTTGAATTATTTAAATAGTCTTCAAGAACACTTTTCCAGAAAAAATAGTGCACTGACATTTTTCCACACAATAGTGTGGAGTTTTGAAATGATTTTTCATGATCTGACAATAACCTGGAGGATATTTGAGGATATTTGATTGATTCAACAATTACTAGTCTTCTTACTACAAACTGCTGAAATGTGCGAAGTGATATGTTTTACTCAAAGTCGGCCTTAACAGAAAATACAATTTTCTTTCAAATAACAGCCATGAAGTTTTTTCACAGCCGCAACAGATGAGTAAAGTGTGAAAAAGTAATTATTGACTGCAAAGGGAGTAATTCCGGCTTCATGTTTCAGAGAGGCCTGCGTCGTCATCTTATTAACACCTTCACAGACTGTTGTGGCATCGACTCAGAGAGGAAGGGCACAACATGCCAGGATGAAGAGGTTGAGCAGCCAGCTGGGGATGAAGGCCGCAATAAAAGGTCTAGTCAGCGCACACAGCGTGTCGACAGCCAAAACCCGGGGCGGATCCAATCGCTGAAAAAACACAAAAGAGAAATTATTTTATCCTACAATGGTCTTAAGAAATGTCGAAATGTTGTATTGCGCTTAATAAAAGTCCAGCTGAATCACGGATTTACCAGCTCCTAATGGCATGATGAAATATATATTGGCTTTCTAGCTCAAATCACAGTGTTGTGGTAACACCTCTCGCAGATGATGCATCTGTGGCCAATTTTGCGGTTGAAACCACCAACCACACTGTCATTGTCATCAAACCAACCAATCTCCTGGGAAAGGCAATTTGACGAGGCTAAAAGGTGAGTGACAATAATTAACAGTAATTGCTGCAGACCTGACAGCAATGCCCTCATACAATGCTTTCAGCAATTTAGATTCAATTAAGTCACAGGTGGTGTTTCACCTGCCTGAGGGATGAGTGAAGTACCTGCAGACTAAACCTCAGCTCTGTTGCTGGTCTTTAGGAGTCCGCTTTGATGACGTCATCCCATCTTTTAAAAGAAATAAATATTGGACAATGCAGGGTCAAAGTGAAAGACTGAGGGAACACCATCAAAAAAAAGAGTCAAAGAGGAGAGAATATGTGTCAGTGGCCTCAAAGTCTTTCACACTCACATCAACCAGAGACACGTAAGCATGAGGCACATTTAATGTAACCGTTCTCTCTGAAACCCATATGTTTTTCCTCAAGATAAAGGGAACAAAGTGAAAGACACTTTCCACTCAAGATGAAGGATCTTCTTGCAGGTAAAGCATGAGAGACCTTGGTGAAAGTGATGAATGATGTACATCACTTGAAAGTCTGGACAAAGGAACGATGGCTAAATAGCTCCACTCAGTGGCAGAAATATGCCTGCTTCGCCGCTTCCAAAATGTTAGCCTTACGTCTGCCTTTAATTTGACTAATGTCCTCAATGATGTTAGACGTGCACAATACCATGACCCTGACACTGAGGTAACTTAATGGAATTCAAACATCATTTCCAATATTTACACCTTCTGTGTATTTGACTTCTTCGCTTGAGTCAGACATTTTCTAAAACAGCTCAAATCAAAATAATGTATGTGTTGTTCTTTCCATGAAATTTGTTGTAAGTAAAAATGGATGAGTAAAGAAAACAGCATATATATTTTTACAACTGCCACAAGGGAGCAAAATTGGCCCACGCATCTGTGTTTCATCTCAGATACGCAATAGTACCTCACAATACTCATACTATTTAGTGAGCCAGAATTTTTTTAGTACGTACCAATGCATGTCAAAAATTACAGGACGTCCCGCATCTGGTCAGGTCAGCAGGCTTTACTGTCAATCCCGACCCACAATCCTTTTCACAGTACAGATATGAACAACAGGGTCAAAGTTTACGGTGCAAAGCCATGACAAAGTGTCCCCTTTCTGTACATCCTGTATACATCCTTTAAAGGTCAGCTGCATATTAGATCTTGTAAAAAAATACAATAGAAAGTTGCATATGTGGAAAACAGCTCATATAATCTGGCTCGGTGCTGACAAATGAGATGATGGAAACGGGGTTGGGAGAAATGTGGCAGCTTTCATCTGCTTCCTTTCGTGTTCAACGCCAACGTCACACACAACTCAATATAACGAACGGTGCAAAACAGAGAGGGAGTTCAGACATAAAACATTGGACTCATTTCAACCTTGTTTTAAACGTGTTTTCAATCCCACATAAAATACTTTCACTTGTGTACGAGGGGGATGTTAATCAGTCGTGCTAAAGTCCAGACCTCAGCAGCTACCGACCACATTCGCTGCATGAAAATTCATAATCTACTCAGGAGCGCTAAGCTGCATTCCTTGTGGACCTGGATGCCAGGGCCTGCACCCAAAGCCCACAACGCGTCTGACGCACCAGTGGAACTTCAGCACGGATATCTATCAGCGGAGATACCAGCAGTCACAAAAACAAACACACATTTTTCTCACAAAAGTGAACTAGAGGTTGTTACTTTTCATTCACCTTTGGCACGCATCTGCACGAGTGAGAGAGAGAGTTATCTGCTGTTGATTCTTTTTTGTAACAATCTTCAGTGATCCGCCCAGTCTCAAATGGTGATCTGCTCAGGCATTCATCACGGAAAAACGTGTGTCACCTTTCAGCGAGATAACATGACTTGTGTCCTTGATGAGATCAGCGTCCCAGTTCCTTTTGGTTATAATCTAGTTACTTAAAACCGCAGTGAAAAATCATTAGGACTCACTTTATCTGTTTATAAAATCTCGATGCTCAAGTGAATGACCAAGATGAATGAAATGCAATAACTGCTTTCAGCCTTCTTTTGTCAGCGACAAGCAGGTAAAGCACCTGACCCTTTTTATCTGCTAAAGTCCTCCAAAGCAGCGGGGGGGGGGCTTCTATGTGCGCGTGTGAATACACAACTACACAAACTCATGATTAAATGTTTGTTCACTGTGTCTGAAGCCTCTCCGGGAAGCTTATCACTAAACAGCGACTACCAGTCGAAACTGCGGGTGGTATCGCTCAGTTTCAGGTGTTGGTGAGTCCGGGTGCGTAAACGACGCGGTGCATGCTGGGTGTTGTAGTCACGCACCGTGTCACGGTACGGCGGTCCCGTCCCATTGTAAACTCCCAGTCCCAGCATGCACCGGGCCTATGGAGCAAACAAGAGCAACGGAGCCGTAACCTGAGGAGGTGGACGTCACAGGAACGCCCCAGAAAGAAGAAGAAAAAAAGAAAAGTGTGTAATGACAGTGAATTGGCTTTTGTTTCTGCCAACAGTCCGGAGCAAAACTACAACCACCTCATGCTGACGGTGAGATCAAACTTTGGCTTTCCTCGAATTTGATGATTTGTCTTGTTTCAGGGGCCAGTACGGGTGAGTCTTATTAATGTGTAACTATTGAGTAGCTATAAAAAGCCACCTGATGCCACTGGACAGGCTGAGAGATACATTTCAGTGAGATTGGTGTGAAGCTGGAGCTTTAATGTCTGAATCCGTGTTTTAGTACTAATACGTTATCTTATTTAAAACACTTTAGAAGTAGGTAGTTACTGAAGGGCTACTGTACAGGATTCACTACCCTGGAATTATTCTTTACTGTCAGTACTACAGTTGCACTGCATTTAGATCACAGCAAGAAGCGCAGGGATAATCAACTTTTGTGTCATCGACATGACAAGACCAACCTGTTTTTGTGCACTCGTGTAAGAAACCAGATTATTAATGACTGACTCACTGCGACAGGTTATGAATGGGAAGTGTCCTTTTACACAGTGACATTGACAGGCTGAAGAGTTGAGGCTTTATTCTCAGCTCGGAACAGTTTTTTTGTAACAATGTGAAAAGAGACTGAAGCTGACTGTTAAAGGAAACATAGCTGTGAGAACAATACCTTCTCTTGTCCTTTCTTATGTCAGTGTAGGTGGTTGTCACTTGTTGCGCCACCTCAAATTATATGTCTGCTTATGTTTAAGGCAGCAACATATTTTACTTAAAAGATTTTCTGGGTTAACCTTTTGAAAAAAATGTGGACAGAACATAATAAAATATGCTCATCACATTGTCTAAGAAGTCAATACAAACAGTCTAATTGTTTGTTTGTTCAAAAAGGCATTTGCAAAAGATTTTACCCAGGACAGGAGACTTAAATATTTTATTCTAGAGAAGCAGTAGACGATAACATATTGTCATGTCTGTTTAACAAATGACTTATGACTTATTTGTGTCTTTTAATGTTTTGTAAACCAATGACAGCGGCTGTTCCCTCAGTATTTGGTTGGTACATTTTAATCAAATGGTTTACATGTGCAGGCACAAGTTGTTAAAAAAAAATCACCTTGTTCTACTGGGCCTTCTGTTTGCATATTTAAGAAATAAAGTAAAGTGGTTTTGCACAAAAAAGCAACAGGTTTGTGCAGAAATAAACACATTTAATTTGTATGTTTACAGATGATATGGCAGCTGGAAGAGCAAGTTCATTTCGTCGTGTTGGGAGTCTCATGCGGAGTAAATCTGAGGGGACACTGATTGATCTAAATGACAAAGTCACAACCAGTGACAGCAGGAATGGTAAAATTCTAACTTTGAAGGCAGCCTGTGCTGTGAATTTTAAAAGACCTGCAGATAATGTTAACCAACGTTCTGATGAAATATCTTTCTATTTTCCCAGATGTGTCACAGAACTCTGAGTGGTTACTTTCACAACCATCCGACGCACGTTCATCTCAGTCAAAAAATCCGTTCTGGAACAAACTGTCTGCATCGAATCCTTTCTTAGATGACATTGAACGCAGCAGCACGGAGAAACCCCTTTCAAGCACTTTCCATGTTAAATCAGACAATGAAAGTCCTACGGAAACGAATGACGATTGTGCCTTCAGCACATCCTCGGATGAAGAGAACACGGGGACCTTTTCGGGAAACCAACACGGAGCCATCGACAGATCGGGGAGATGCAGAAGTGCCTCCGACATCCTGGACGATCTGGAGAGAAAAGTGCCAAAACGAGAGAACAGCTTCAAGCCGCCCAGGCCGGTGCTCAACCCGGATTTTGAGTGGCTCAAGAACGACAGAGAGGCCTACAAGATGGCCTGGCTGAGCCACAGGCAGCTCACCCGCTCATGTCTGGATCTAAATCTCATGAGCCAGAGTCCGGGGTGGGCTCAGACACAGGCCACGGGCTATCAGGTCACTTGCAAGGTCGGCCACGCCGGAGGCTCGGTGCAGTTGCCAGCCTCAAAAATTAGCATCCATCTCCCCGAAGGCCATGTTCCTCCAGGAGAAGTCCAGGAAGTCACACTGAAAGCAAAGCTAGACCCTCCACCCGGACTCAATAACAACTACATGACCACCATGAGTCCACTTCTCGAGGTGGTCCTCAGCAATATCAACATCAAGGAGGGAATCGCTCTGGAGATGAAGCTGGCCGGAGAGGTGAAGAGCGACCCGCTGAGTCAGGTGATGACCACTGTGGTCGGCATGGTGTCCAACAAAAAAGAAGGACCTTACGCGAAGGTCAACAACTGTTACATTTACAAGAATATGATGCAAATCAAGCTGCGGGACTTTAAGACACATTTTTTTGTAATCGCAGTCGCAGAGGCATCTGCGATCCAGTCTCCTGCTACCTCAGTGTGGGATTACCTTGATCGCAGAATCACCGTAGCAGTTTATGGTCCCAGGTTCATCCATCCGTCATTCAAGGTCGTGGTAGTAGTTTGCGGCCATGGGGACGTTCCGCCGAGGCTTCCGTTTTCAGACATCTGCAGGGGAAACAAAAATGTACCTGCACTTGTGCTGCAGCTTTGGGGAAAACATGAGTTTACGCCGGAAAAACTGGACAACCTGCATGTCGGTATCAGCCTCACAGGCTCCGTGTTTAAAGTCAAACCCGGGGACAGCCTGAAAGAAGTGAGACACGGTCGGCTCTTGCTAGGCACGGTTTTTCATCTGCCGGTAGCGTTGTCTTGTGCTAGAAATACCAAAATGACTCCTTTCAACTTAGATCTAGAGGTGAAAGATTCAAAAGCTGCAATTGTTGCACATTTCCAGGTGCCTTCGCCTCCCGCAGCACCCATCAGGGCAGAGAAGCGAGTGCCGAGGCTGACGGAAAAGCAGATTGAAATGCCACGAAGCCCACCTATCACTGAGGAAAGTGCTTCAGATTCCCTCAAATTCACAGACAGACCTGTGAACCTACAGTGTTACGGTGTGGCCTTAAAGTCAGTCTTCCGCCAGCCACGTGTAGACTACCTTCTGGAGTATTTCAAGGGGGACACTGTGGCCCTCCTGTCCAGAGAGACGGTCAAGTCAGTGGGTAACTCAAAAGTGAAGGAGTGGTATATCGGGTTCCTCCGAGGCAGGACTGGTTTGGTTCACTGCAGGAACGTCAAGCTCATAACCGCAGATCAAGTGATTGACTTCACCGGCGTTCGAGTCAGCACAGAGGTCCTCTTGGACAACATGACGCTGCCCTTCAAGAAGCTTACTTACATGTACTCCGCCATCCAGACACTGGTCACTGAACACATAACGAGCTGGAGAGGTCTGGCCGACGCGTTAGGGTACAGCGAGCTGCCGCTGGACACGATCACGCGGACGCACGCCGAAACCGAGGCCGACAAAGTGGCCTGCGTGCTTGAAAAGCTGAAGGAAGACTGCCATGCCGACAAGAGCAAGAAGAAGTTTCTGCATGAGCTCATGGTGGTAAGCGGAAAAAAAGACGATTATCTATAGTGGATATTTCAATCTGATATTTCAATCTTGAGTGTGTCACTTTGGTCGTGGTGACAATCTGTCTCCGCTTGTCCCCCCCAGGGCCTGTTGAAGATGGACTCCGTGAATCTTGTGGCCCGGCTGATTCAGAACACGGTCATTTTGTCCACGGCCGTGGAGCTCGGAGCTCGATGGCGGGAACTCGCGGAGAAGACGGACAAACTATCCAGTGCTCAGATAGCGGGCTACGAGGCACCACACAGAGGCAAGAGCAAGGAGGTCGGGGCCCAGGTCAGTTAACGAGAATCGAAGAGTAGAGAAACACTTCTGCAGTGAATGAGGATGAATGACTTTTCCTGTATTTTCTATTTAAGGCAATGTGGAAGCCGGCCTATGACTTCCTGTATTCCTGGAGTCTGCGGTATGGAGACAGCTACAGGGACATGATCCAGGACCTGCACTTGGTCCTGGACAAAATGAAGAACCCGGCCACCAGACAGTGGAGGCAGTTGACCGGCGCCCTCATCACAGCAAACTGTCTTGATATCTTTCGAGCCTCCGCATACCCAAATTCCTAGACTTTATGCAGGTGCACTCTAGCGATGACGGCGACTTTCGCACACTCTGGAAAAGCAGAGAGGTTTTGTTACACAGCAAAAAGGCTTTGATCTTATTTCCAATGTTACTTTGCTCTTTTTTGTATAGTTTTACTGTGTTGACAGTTCAATCAGGTACTTGCACTAAATGTTTGGCTCTCACTTAGTGAATGTGAAATGTGTACAGAACGCTCATCGTACGAAGAAAAGTGCAGGTTGTGACTTTTCTTGACGTCTCCATGTAAACAAATGTGCCTTAATGTGAAAGATCATTTTGAGAGATTATTTTCTGTCAAATGTTTCAGTAGAGATCAGTAGTTCTCATCAACAGGATATAAAACATCTCAGCAGCTGTTTTTATCTTTCATTCCTTTGCTTGTTAATTGTGGAAAGACCAGGTTCAATTAGTATTTATTAAACTAATTGGATTTCTTCTAGTGCATTACTTAACTTACTGAATGTATTCAGTTATTGTGGATTTAGGGATCCACAGTATGATGACAGACATCAACCTCATGGAAGTTTGTATCAATGGGATTTTTAAGTTGTAGTTTTCTGTAAAATACTTTTGTAATGATAATGTGAACACGGTTTCTAACTAACTATCTCAAGGGTTTCAGCGCTGCCAAGACTAGAGTTTCTGTGCTGGAAAAGTGACATTTTCCTGATGCCAGTAAACAAACCATGAAGATGCTACTTTAAAGTGTCATGAACTATTGTTTTCTTAAATATGAGTATGTCCTTTTTAAACTGTAATAGAATGTTTAAGGTATGTGCAAAGCAGATCATTTCATAGAGATTGACAATGTAACCATTGTGTTGCGCGATGGAAAGCTCGGTGCAGAGCGTCCAGCCGCATACACACACGGTGCCTTCAGTCGCTGAAATGTTCAACAACGACAGATATCCTTGATGGTGAAATGAAGATGTGCTTCTGCAGTTATGAATAAATACTAACTGGAGTAAGTTATCTGATGCATTTTCATAAATACATGAAGAGGTTCAACTAATATACCAGGTTAAAATGACAGGGACAAGACTTCTTATTGAAACCATGTTTCCACACTAGTGTGAAATCGGTGAATTTACTTTAAAACTTTACCCTGAAGTGTTTTCTATTGATTTTCTAAAGTAGTTGTTTGCTGATCCTGACACTGTTGGTTTAAGCTGGTTTCAGCTCAGAGCTGCTGCTTCTCTCTCCACACTGAGCACAGAACGCTGAGCTGACTTTGCTTTACTGGCTCGCGGTAACCAGTCTAGTAAAAGTACATCCAACAGGGGAAACGGTATCAGTGGACAGTGAGAACTCATTTAATCTCCCGGCGGAGAATGGTTGTAAGATTGAATTTCATTTGAAAAGGCTGATGGTGATCAAAGTAAAAGTTTAGTGGGAACATGCAGGACAAACCCAGGGATGTGGAACACTAGAGATGACGTCTTTTCACTCCTGCGCTTTGTGTCACTAAAATAAATGAATAAATAACTTTGTATAAACATCCATCAGACAAAGAATTGACACCCGTCTTCCTTTTTTAAAAATGTTTAATACCTGCTGGTTAGCCTGAAATACCAGAGAAACTGAACCTCATTGTTCATAGTCTGAGCATGAGTAAAATAAGAATATAATAAGACTCCCTCAAACCAACAGGACAACGTTTCACTGTTTTAATGAGAGTCAAACATGAGTGAGGAGCAGTTCAGAGGAATAATTCAATATATCAAACATTATACTCGTCATATAAAATTTCCCTCTTAAGGGGTCAATAAAGTATCAATCTATCTATCTCTCTCTATATATATGTAAATAGTTAACAATTAGTTTTTAAACATAACATTAATAGTTAGATATCAATACTGAACATTGTTGGTATAAGATAATATACTATGTGTGTACTTGGAAACCTGACACAAAGTAGCGTCACAGAATTGCAGACCTAAGCCTCAAGATAAGTACAAGATGATCTAATCGTTGGTTTGTTTTTTAATATTTTACAAGGATGTAGGATCTGTTGTCACAAAGAAACACAGAGTGAAGCTTCTGACGAAATCAGGGGAACAGAAAAACGTTTGAGGGACCCACTTTAAAATTGAACGTTGCCTTTTTAGGCCCCCATTTCTCTAATGCAGCGAGGCGTTCGAATATTTGACTAATGAAATGTGACCACTTTTGTTTTAGGGGCCTTTTACAGCATCAGTGTGGGAGTGGAAATATTATAATTAGTCTGAATATTAATGGCTGACTGAGGTTGTATTTTTTGTGAGAAAACATGAAACCTCCTGTCATTCATGTTATTGTAATTGCTGTGCAGAATGTGTGAAAAGATAAACCAACACTGTTAATAAATATATTTGACCCTAACAGCCCTTCACAAGTCTATTTAACAGCCGAGGGTGTGTTGTATTTTTCACAAGTTGCTGTATCTGAATTTGCATGATCAGGGCAGCATTGTTATACGTATCAGACATATAATACCACAAAATATAAATGAAAAAACAACATTCATTTATTCATATTGCATAACCAGGAACTCAAATAAATACAAATGAGGGCCGTCCATCTCAAGCCGGCAGACAATCAAACCATCTGAAGTAGACTGTGGGTTCAGATTATGTCACTACATTTCCAATTTCTCTCCTCAAAAGTGATCAACATACTGTAATATAATGTTCAGCTGTACAATTAGAAAGTTTGAAACCCGGCCGCCAGATTTAAAAGAGTTGAGCACCACCTATCAAACTGTTTTGGATTTGCTGCATCGCTGCACAAGCGACGCACAAGCGACGCACAAGCGACGCACAATGCACACTTTAGCATCTGTCTGCGGCGCACTTGGCTGATGAATTACTTCAATGTAAACCCACCAGCAACATTATTACGCGCTCATGCCAAAGAATGTACTATGCAGGGGAAGGAGCCTACAGCTAAAGGCCTTCTGCCCCACTGCGAATGAGATCACCCTGCTTCACCACTAGAGGCCCCTAAATGCCACACTTTGGCACCGATTTTTTGACCTACCCAAAAATGTGAAAATCCACAAAAAACGACTTGCAGCAATTTCTTGTTCATGGGAAATGAGAAAACATCACTATGAGTTTAAGAAAGTGTCTCCAAGCTTTTGACTGGTACTGTGTGCAATTCAGAAACAATAATCTTCATCAGTTGTTTGATGTTTTTAGTGTAAAAACTTGCCTGGCCTTAAGTCCATGCACCTAATATACTAATATACCACAACAAACAGGGACTCTACACTACAACACACCCCCACAACACAACACCCCCACTTATGCAATCATCTTTTTTTAGCCCGCCGCATTCACTCATCCACTGCTCGTTTTTTTGCAGTCTGTCTTATTTTAACTACTTCACTCACAAAAAGGCACTTTCAGTTTCAAGAAGGACTGACTAGTATCTTTCCTTTGAAATATGGAAAGGCTGTTCTCAACGAAACTGTATGATAAAATAACATACGAGTCATTACAGAGTATGTGCTGAAATCCAAAGCTTCTTTCACACTGGTACTTAAATAAAATGCTGAGGTTGTGTTAAGCTAACTTGTTTCAAGAAACAAGACAGTCGTGATTCTTCATCGGGACAGCAGACATGGCGAGATCTTACAAAAACAAAATCCACCTCAGCTGCTCAGGCAGGATTCAGGCGAGGTCGGCAGTTTTGTATTTTCTTTAAGGACCACAGAAAAAATGCAGAAATTTCTGTTTATTTGGCACTGATATCCAGACACACTCCATTGGTGTATTTCTTTTTTCCACAGATATTTGGAGGATTTTTTTTTTTTATTCAGTCATTAATAATAATGATACATTTAATTTTTATAGTGCTTTCCCAAATGCTCAAAGTTACTTTACATAAAACTTTTACAAATATCCTAAAAGCTAACCTGTAAATACATAAAACACATACAGAACACACCGTCATACATGAAAAGCAGTTCTGAAGAGGTGGGTTTGTGTTTTGAACGTGGAGAGGTCGATAAACTCTCGCGTGAGTTTGGGGAGAGCGTTCCAGAGGGAGGGGGCAGCTATGGAGAAGGCTCTGCCCCCCCTGCCCCCCCATTTACAATACAATACTGTGTGTTTTATGGTGCACCCAAAACACCCTGCAGCATCGCAGACCCCGCTGGTTTCTGCTCGGTGGGGGGCGCCATTGTATCGTCTTTCAGAGAGTTTCTTGGCGCTTGCCAACAGTTCCTCATTTGTGTGAAATGTTTTTTGCTAACTAACACCTATTTAATGAATAAGAAAAGATAATAATGGGATCATGAATTTGATCGAACTGTGAAATTATCTCATTACAGCAACACAATGACTTCATTGAACTTTTCAACATGGAATTTCATGTAAAAAAAAAAAACAAGTTCTGGAACACATAGATGCTCTACAGAACACAATGTGGTGGTTTGTAAGTATATTTGAAAACAGAGAAGGATAAATGAAGTAATGAATGTTGTTGTTTACTTATATTCTGTTGTACTGTATTTCTCATGCAAACGACCAGGCTGTCATGCGTAAACAAGTACGAGTCTAAACAGCTTGACTCAGATTTCTGAAGTCAACAGCCACGCGGACACCCACAAATCACTGTAATGAACAGAAGCATTCCTCTGTCCTCTGGGGTATATACGGCTTCATTTGGTTTGCCTCTATGATGTATGTGGAGGGCAAGAAGTCATTTAGCTTTCAATTTATTAGCCTGGTGATTTATGCATGCTGCAAAAGGTAGTGGTCGTGTCTCCTACACACCGCCGCCTCTCCCCCACCCTCCTTCCCTTTTCTCATTGCACCGTAATCATTTGGTAATAGATGATGTGTAAGAGGAGAAAGTTCAGTAATTAGAAAAGCCGCCCCCAAAAAAATAACAAGGGCTTACAGTTTATGGTTACACTTCATTTATCACAGTTGTTTTAGTCACCAAGTACCCCCACCCTTTATTAAGCTGGTAGTCTACAGAAAACTGTGCAATATTTGGAGTTCAGATGCATTAGGAGAAGGAAACCCTACCTCACATGGGAAACACAAGTTGCATTTATTGTGTATACAGATACACAACGTGCCTGAAAACAATACAACCCGAGATCTACATTTTTCATTTATAAAAATGGAGACACAGTTTTAGCTGAACAGGTTTGCGGTGTATGTTACAAAGTCCAGGCCCGCAGTTCAATGCCTTTCTGCTGACTAACAGCCTGCATGGAGCCTCTTCCCATGACCACCGCTGCGAAGGAGGAAGCTCTCTTACCAAGTGACTCACAGGGGGAAAAAAAACACCTGAAGTGTTTGGAAACATTCAACGCGGTTTTGTGAGTAAAAACCATTCATATCTATTTTTCATATTTCCATCAACCAGCCTGACGGAAAGCAAGTTTCTTCATGGCAGAAAAACACCGCAGTGCAGATTAAGCTAAATCACAAAACATAAATAAGACATTAGTCTTGTAGAAAGTGGAACTTTGGTTTATTTTTGCTGATGATCACATCCTAATGCAGAAAGAGGTTTTGTCAGGTGTACCACAAAAGTTTGGGGGAGGTGCAAAGAGCGTGTCTGCTGACAGGCCTGATGCACCAACCGTGACACCCCCAGTTCGTCAGTAATCTAAAACACAGATGGAGGAGGGCTGGGAATGAGAGTGGGGAATGTTAAGGATTGCAGCACAACATTTTGATGATGAGCACTTCGCCACTGGGCTGATACGATCTCAAAAAGTGCATGAATCTCACAACCCGAGCTCACATCTCAGGCCATTATTATAAACTACTTGATTCTTTAGAAAGTACTATTCCATACTTCAGGGTAGTGGAAGAAGTACACCATAATGAAAACCCCTGTGCACAAACACAACATTTATAATGTTGTGTTTGTGCACAAGTGTTTTCATTATGTCAGTATTCAATGACATAATATCAGTCAGTATTAATCAAAGTAGGAAATAGCCTCTGAGAGCCAGTTGCTAAACA